TGTAGGGTTTAGGGTGAGGGTTCAGGGTTTACCGCAAGAGTCTCTGCTAGGGTATCGGGTATAGGGTAAGTGTGAAGCTTAGGGTTTTGTTCACGTCTGTCATAGACAACCAACCCTCTGAAAGACTACAAAGAGCCTCCAAAACAAATCCAACAAAAACCTGCAGGGATGCCCCAAAACCCCGAAGCCTAAACCCTGAACAAGACAACCTAAACCCCTAAACCCTAAAACCCCTAAAACCCCAAACCCTAAACCCTAAAACCCCTAAACCCTAAACCCTAAAACCCCTAAACCCTACACCCTAAAACCCCCCTAAACCCCCTAAAGCCCTCAAACCCTAAACCTAAACCCTAAAACCCCTAAACCCTAAACCCTGAAAACCCTAAACCCCCCCCCCCATAAACCTAAACCCTAAAACCCTAAACCCTAAACCCTAAAACCCTAAACCCCCTAAACCCTAAAACCCGAAAACCCCTAAACCCTAAACCCTAAACCCTAAACCCTCAACCCTCAACCCTTAAACCCTAAACCTGAACCCCCCGAAACAAAACGGTGTCGGAGCCCTTCCTCCGCAGGGGCACACCCAGGCCTTCCTCAGTCTTCCGAGGATCCGAGAAAAAAGGAGGAGGGCTAAGGATCTAGGGTTTATAGGGGTTTAGGGAAGCCCTGTAGTACACTCATGGATCCCTTAGAGGAACCCCCCAAAAAAATCTCGGCACCAAGGAACCAACCTGGTATCCGACTCGGAGCTGGAGAGGCCAACAGACTGCTGGCCAATGCAGGCGCCGTAGTCCCTCCACGTCTTGACGCCACTCCACTCGCCGGAGTATCCTTCCGTTTAGGGTTTAGGGTTTAGGGTTTAGGGGCATAAACATCGTAAACCCCAAACCCCACTCCCTCAACCCTAAACCTTAAACCATGGAAGCCTCAACCCCCTAATCCACAAATCCCCACCCCTAGGTCCCGTGGGCAGGGTGCAATACCTGTCCAAAATCTTGGCGACCTGATCCTCGGCACAGGATTAGAATCTCGGGGCCTTATTCATTTTAATAGGGTTTCAGGGTAGATTCTACATAGTAATGTAAGTATGAAAAGGAACCCCCCAAATAGTAATCTAATAGTACTGGTAGTTATGTAAGAATTTAAGCCCCTATATCACTCTTCTAGGGCAGAGCTTCGGGTTTTAGGGTTTGGGGGGGGGGGGGGTTCCTTTTTAAGGGTTCCTTAAAGGGCTACTATACGGGTTTAGGGTTTAAGGGCCTCAATAATTAGAATAAGGTTTTGGGGGTTCAGCGACGGATATCTGGCGTGCAGTTCACACCGGGTTTGGGATACCTAAGGCGTACATCCTAAAGCCTCAATCCTAAACCCTACACCCTAAAACGTATGTAAATCCTAGACCCTATTCCCCAAACCCCTAAACCCAAAACCCTAAACCCTAAAGCCCGAAGCTCTGCCCTGGAAGAGTGATATAGGGGCTTAAATTCTTACACTATTCTGCACTTTGAACGGCTTAGGGTTTTCGGGGTGAAGGCCGGGGCTTCCAACTTAATATAGGGGACCTTAGCAATTTAGAATTGGGTTTAGGGTTTAGGGTTTAGGGTTTAGGGTTTAGGGTTTAGGGTTTAGGGTTTAGGGGCCTTAATAATTTAGAAGTGGGTTTTTGGGCCCATTCTACTATTCTACTTACAATGGGGAACCCCCAAATTAGTACTGGTAAAAAATTGTCGCCCCTATGGTAAAACCGCAGAAGCAGCTCTCCATGATGCCGACGACAGCTATTGCTGAGGCTATGAACCGAATGCTGTTGTCCAATCCATGTACCAAAACCCCGAATCCATGTACCAAAACCCCTAAACCCTAAACCCTAAACCCTAAACCCTAAACCCTAAACCCTAAACCCTAAAACCTAAACCCGAACTAAAATCACGAGAGGCGCCACTCGAGCTCTTTGGCCCCGCATGCCCGCAAGGTTCACGAGCGTCAGGACAGGCTTTGCCCAACCCGTCGGCACGAAACCTGGGATTTTGCGGTTTGGGGTTTTGGGATTGGGGTTAATTTAACCCTAAACCCTAAACCCTAAACCCTAAACCCTTTAGGGGGGCCCCTGAGCTAAACCTACACCCTAACCCAGCAAACCGGCGGAGAGGAGGTTTTGTAGAAGGTTTGGCCAAAAGGCCATGGTTTAGGGTTTAGGGTTTAGGGTTTAGGGTTTAGGCTTTAGGCTTTAGGGTTTAGGGTTTAGGGTTTAGGGTTTAGGGTTGGCCGAGGGGTCCGTTGAGCCTGATGTGCAGCAAGCTGTTGGGGAAGGTCCACCTGCAGTGTCTTCCTTTGCAGCAAGCTATTGGGGAAATCCCGGTTGTCAATCTGCAGCAAGCTACGGGGGAGGAGCCATGTCTGAGCCTTCTTTTGTTTGAAGCTATGGGTGAATTAACATTTGCAGGGATTCTTGTGCGTCGAAGGTCTTGGGAAATTCCAAGTTGAAAGCCTTCGTTTTGCGCGAAGCTATTCGGGGGTTTCGATAGCGAAATGTTATTTTGCTTCAAGCTATTCAGGGATTCAGGAAGTACAACGTGCGGGGCTCGTTTTGTTTCAAGCTATTGGGAATTGGCTTCGCCTCGCAATCTCCAAGGCCTCTCTTGCACGGCGTAAAACAAAACCGGGGTGTTTGGGGTGGCGCAGCGCCAGCCAGTTGCAAACACCATGTCTCTATCATGGGTTCTGGAACGGTTCTGGTTCTAAACACGGTTTCAGGTTTAGGGGGTTTAGGCTTTAGAAACAAACTCCTGGGAAACTCGAGCCGAATGACCTGCAATGATCATCAGCTCCTGGACGTAGCCCTGGAGTAGCCCAATGCTCAAAGGGAAGCTGACATTGCCTGAGAGCACTTCACGTGTCTCTACTCTTGCGGCTTAAGGACGAGCAGAACTCGAAACAGGAAGTCGGGGTATAGTCTGAAAGCTGAGTCAAAGTTGCAGGGCTTATTGTTTGACAACATGGTGTGGGGATGTGGAGTTGAAAATGGTTTTAATGTAGGGGCCTGAAGAATTAGAATAGGGTTTTGGGGTTCATTACACTATAAGTATAATAAGGAACCCCCAAAATAGTATAGGTAATATTTTAGGCCCCCAAAATAGGGTTCAGGGTTTGGGGGGCGCCGGTTCCCGCAAAGGCTCCATAAGGGTTTACTGGCTCGAACCAACATGCCTGGTGAAGAAGTAGCGAGTATATTCTCTTCTTGTCTTACAGCCGCTGCATACAGAAAGTATAACATGCACCAAAACCCTAGTCGAGTTCTCGAATCTGTTAGTGGCTCGCCGGTGTGCTGGGGTCAGTTTGTGGCTTTGTGGATTTTGGCCGTAGGACGTTACATCATCGAGCTTCGGGGAAACGAAAAATTTCAAAAGTTCTTAAAGAGCGAAGAATGGTTGTCCGCGGTGGGCCCCCCACCGCATAAAAGATATGCCTTGTGCACTAGAGTAGGCCAACCTACTTGGCAGCCTAATTAAACCCTAAACCCTAAACCCCAAGCCCTAAATCCGAAACTCCAAACCTTAAATCCGCAACCCCAAGCCCTAAACCCCAAACCCCAAACTCTAAATCCGAAACCCCAAGCCCCAAACCCGAAACCCGAAGCCCCAAGCCGCACGACTGAAGCAGCTCGGAGCGCCTCCCTCACCCGGGAGGTTTGTGGGCGCCGTAAGTCGCCCTGCCCGAATCTCGCCGATCAGGGCATTCCAGGCCTTTGTCAGAGTCCTGGGCTCGGGAATTAAGCTTTTAGGATCTAAGGTTTAGGGTTTAGGGTTTAAGCTTCTAGGATTTAGGGTTTAGGGTTTAGGGTCTAGGATTTATGTTTTAGGGTTTAGGGTTTGGGGTCTGGCCCTTTTCCTTCTGCTTATGCGTCCGAGATCCCGAAATTTCGGGGAGCCTGCTAGCCGGGGCCCACAGGTTGAGGTTTTAGGCTTTAGGCCTTTGCAGAAAGGATGATGTCTTGTAAGGTTTGGGTTTGAGGCGCCCCTGGCTAGGGGTCTAAAAGAACGAACCTCTTTAGGGTTTCTTATTATATGGGTTTAGGGCTTAGGGTTTAGGGCTTAGAGTTTAGGATTTAGGGTTTAGAGTTTAGGATGCAGGGTTATCGAAAAAGCGAGGAAGGCGGAAAGGTCTAACCTAGGGGCCTTAGTAATTAGAATAGGGTTTTGGGATATACTATACTATAATTATAATAAGGAACCCCCAAAATAATAAGGAACCCCCAAAATAGTATAGTTAAGTATTACGTCCCCTATATAGTACTTGATTTGCGGACCGGAAAGAGGATGAACTGTAGCGGGAACCCATTTGCTCGCCTCGGGACCTCTTACGCACTACCGCATGACACAGGGTCTTCGTCAATACCAACTTACTATTACATCGCAAAACCCTCAACCCTAAATCCCACACAAGGCTCCTGAGTGACCCCTTTTGGAATAAGGATACCCTGCTGTCTGTTTAGTCAGTTTTGATGAGGGAGCCGTCATACAATAAACCCTAAACCCTAAACCCTAAACCCGGAACCCTAAACCCTAAACCCTAAACTTTAAACCTTTTGGGGGCTCAGAGCAGGAGATCGTTGGATCGAGCGGCATCTCGTTGCTGAAATAGTCGCAGGGATGAGTCGAGGTCCATTTGACGCACATCCGCTCCTAGGCAGAAAATTGCGGTTATTATTCCTATATCTACTACTATCATGCTTATTGTTTTCCATTATTTGGTCATTTTATTATGTCAAGAGAGGGGGAGAGTGAGAGAGAGAGAGAGAGATATATATATATATATACACACATATATATATATATATATACATATACATGTATGTGTATATATATATATATAATATAAGAGACACTGGCAAGTTGAATGCTTCCAAGCCCCTGCAGGTTAGCTGGCTTGTGTCGCACCAACATGAAAAATTCATTGAAAGCAAGAAGACACATGAACCATGAAAAGGCACTGCATATTCACAGTGACTCTCCTGCTGCTCAGCATCCAAATGCCCAAAAGCCTGCGTCAATGCCATCCCCTGCCCTTTCGCGAACTCCAGCGTGTTGGGCACCGGTGGCATGTTGCCTTGCTCTCAACATAAGCCCACGGAGCAAACTGCCAGAACACTACGAACGTACAAGAACCCGCAACTATGAAAGGTGCGTAGTGGAGAAAAAAGCCCTAGAAAGCCCTTACGGAACCCTGCCAGAACCCCTAAACCCTAAACCATAAACCCTTAACCCTGCAAAACCCAACGCCGACAATGTAAAGCCCACCGAAGTTGCCGTTGATGACCATCTTGGCAACTCGATCAGGGAACATGTCTGCATATACAGCAGCCACCGCTGTGCCATAGGAACTACCATCCAGGTTCCTCTGTAGCTTCGGACGTTTAGGGTTTAGGGGTTAGGGCTTAGGGTGCACGGTCACATGCAGTTCTTCAGGGCCTACCAGGCAAAACCATTTGTGTGACTTCTAGGCCGGGCCGCAACAAAGACAATCTTGCTGCTACGCTAAACAATGGCATGACTTTATATAGGGGCCTAAATAATTACCTATACTACTTTGGGGCTTCCTTTGTATAATTATAGTATACAGGGCCTCAAAACCCTATTCTAATTATTTAAGGCCCCTATATGATGTGGTTCTGGCTACCGCTACTTTGTCGTTCCACGGCGGCGGGGTACCCTGAATCCTAAACCCTGAACCCTGAATCCACCTAAGCCCAAGAACATCCCTTTTGGCGAGGATGGAGGCCGTCTAGAAGACCCTAAACCCTAAACCCTAAACCCCTAAACCCCTAAACCCCTAAACCCTCAACGGCTACGGCAAGGCTTAGGGCTTTTAGGGTTTAGGCCTTAGGGCTTCTAGGGCTTCGGGCTATCCTGGTGCAGGGCTTTGGGCTTGGGGCTTGCAGAGTTTAGGGTGTAGGGCCTTTAGGGTGTAGGGGTACAAGGCTTAAGTTTAGGGTTTAGGGTTTAGGGTTTAGGGTTTAGGGTTTAGGGTTTAGGGTTTAGGGTTTAGCTTAGGGCGGGAATACCAAGACTGCATCTGGCTCCAGACCACAATCCTATGCTAAAAATCCACGTGCAGTACAGCATTGCAGCGCTAAGCCCTAAACCCAAAGCCCTGCTAGCCACCAAGCTATGCAGACTATAACAATACAAAGAAAGTTGTGTTCAACAACTTGTAAGGCTCAGCTTTGGCGCACAGATGCGGCTTCGGAAGAAGTCGATGTCCTGAGATCAACCGGCACAAGCCTACACCCGAAGCACTGAAACCCTGTAAGCCCTAAACCCCAAAACCAAACCCTTAAGCACTGAAACCATAAACCCTGAACCCCAAAACCTAAACCCTAAGCACTGAAACCCTACACCCTAAACCCTAAACTCCAAACCCTGAAGCTAAACCGTAAACTGCAGGCAGAACCAAATCGAACATGGTAAGCTCGAGGCATCGGCTGTCAATACTTCTATAATATTGGGCTCGGAAAATGAATTATAATATCTCTGTCTGTAAGGTCCTTATATAACTTTATTCTAACATCCACCAAAATCCGTTCCTGAGCAGTAAGAAGCCTACCTTAGACCCCAGATCAAGAAATAAACCCCACCACCCTAAACCCCGAACGCTTCACCCTGAACCCTAAACCCCAAACCCTAAACCTGAAACCCCGGGGTTTAGGGTGCAGGGGTACCTGCGTTTCTCACAGAGACGCAGACTTGAGCACGTAAATAATTTAGGATCGAAGTCTCAAGGCACATAATGCCGGAGAACTTCTTTCTCTCCCTCACCCACCCTAAACTATGGGAATGCAAGGACCTTCCCTACTTACGTTGATGATAGAAATCCTGCATTACCTTAAGGACCCTAAACTATGGGAACTATGGCATACTCCTTATGATGGGTAATGCAGGATTTATATCATCAACTGTATGGCTGCAGGGCACCAGCAACTCATTGCAGCTCCGAGGCTTCTAATGTAGGGGCCTTAATAATTAGAAGTCGGGTTTTGGGGCATATAATAAAGTATTTATAAGACGGAACCCCCACAATAGTATACCCTGAGGGTCCATGTACCCAAAAAGTATATACGTTGGCCCCAAAGTACTTATATAGGGACTACTTCAAGGCCAAAGTGTATGCTATGTGGGTACATGGACCTTTAGGGATAGGTAATTATTGAGGCCCCTAAACCCTAAACCCTAAACCCTAACCCCTACTATATTAGAGCAAAGAAGCCCTGGAGGACCCTCGTCCAAGAACCGAGGCTCATGTGCCAACATGCGCGTCCCTGACCACTCGAGGAAGTTATACCTGGGCTTGCAGCTTGAGGGTGTAGAGATCTAGGATTGAGGGTTTGGTTAAGGGTTTAGGGTTTAGGGTTTAGGGTTTAGGGGTTTAGGGGTTTAGGTTCTAGGGTTTAGGGGTTTCGGGTTTAGGGTTTAGGCTTTAGAGATACTGGGTTAGGGGTAATATAGGGGCCTTAATAATTAGAATAGGGTTTGGAGGCCCAGTATACTATAATTATAGTGAGGAACCCCATACATAGTATCAGCAGTTATTTAGGCGCCTACATTATAAAGAGGCTTTCATAACTTAGAGTCGGGTTCGGGGGTATAGTGTACTACAGCACTACTATCATTCAATATACCGCGGACCCTTCGGGGATAAGTACTAATGATTCAGACCTTTCTGATACTCTTCAACCTTGCCAATCGTGAACCCCTACAAAACTTGAAACATCTTTATGAAACCCTAAACCCGAAACCGCTAAACCCCACAGGGCCCTTACAAAGCCGAACTCGAAGCCCTTGCCCTTTGCAGTAATCCAAATCCAAATATCCCCAACCCCACAAACCCATAAGACCCTAAACTCTGAACCCCAAGCCCTAAAAGCCATGAAACCCCCAAGCCCTAAAAGCCCTGAAACCCCCAAACCCTAAAAGCCTGAAACCCCCAAGCCCTAAAAGCCCCGAAACCCCCAAACCCTAAAAGCATTGAAACCCCCAAGCCCTAAAAGCCCTGAAACCCCCAAACCCTAAAAGCCCTAAAAACCCCCCAAACCTCCAAACCCAAAAAGCCCTGAAACCCCCAAACCCTAAAATCCTTGAAACACCCAAACCCAAAAAGTTCGGAAACCACCAAACCCTAGCTGCTTAGGGTTTAGGGTTTAGGGTTTAGGGTTTAGGGGCCCTAGCTCTATTCCTAAACCCTAAACCCTAAACCCTAAACCCTAAACCCTAAACCCCCCACACCCTATATAGCTCTATCGGGAGCCCGAGCTGCTTCTTCCCTCTCGGGCCGGTGAGCATCCACCTGCTGTCTGCGGCGCAGCGCCGGGAGCGGAGGGCCATGCTTCGGAAGAGGACCTTAGGATTTAGGGTTTAGGGTTTAGGGTTTAGGGTTTAGGGTTTAGGGGTTAGGGTATATAGACCTTAAAGGGTTTGGGGTTATAGGGTTTAGGGTTAGGATTTAGGGTAAATAGACTTTGGGGTTTGGGGTTATAGAGTTTAGGGTTTAGGGTTAGGATTTAGGGTACATAGACCTTAAAGGGTTTGGGGTTTTAGAGTTTAGGGTTTTGGGGTTACATGAGCTTGGGGCAGAGCTCAGGGCTTTGCAGCTACAGGGGTTTAGGGCTTTGGGGGTTATACCTAAACCCTAAACCCTAAACCCTAAACCCTAAATCCTAAATCCTAAACCCTAAACCCTAAATCCTAAATCCTAAATCCTAAACCCTAAACCCTATAAAACCGTTATACCTAAACCCTAAACCCTAAATCCTAAATCCTAAACCCTAAACACTATAGGGCGTTGGGGCTGTAGCGTTGAGGGTTTAGGGCTTCGATTCCGACATCCGTCGTTAGCGACGCATCGCCCCGACAGCGGAGCGAGCTTACGTTGATATGCTTCCCGAGAGAACCCAATACCCCTTAATTAAGCGTTTAGGGTTTAGGGTTTAGGGTTTAAGGCATCTTCCTTAATTCAGGGTATTGGGTTGTCTGGGTTCGTGAGTACCTATCTTCGTGGGTGCAAGTTGAGGCACGTGACAGAAATTTCGCGGTCCTGCTGAACTTGATGCCGCCTACACTAAACCCTAAACCCTAAACCCTAAACCCCACATAAGGCCTGGAACCCGAACCACAGAACCCCCCAACCCTAAACCCTAAACCCCAAGCCCTCACCGAATCCAAACACACCCCCGGACCCCTCAAAAAACGAACACGCGCCATACAACTTGACAGCAAAATCCCAGGCCCTAAACCCGAACCCTAAACCCGACGCCCCTTGAAGGAACGCTAAACCCTACGCTTCTTAACGGAACCCTAAGCCCTACACCCTTTGAAGGAAGTCTCAATCCTACACCCCTTGATGGAACCCTAAACCCTACACCCCTCAAAAGGAAGCCTTAAAGGACCCCTTAAAGGAACCCTTGAAAAGCAAGGAACCCTTGATCAGAAACCTTTTAAATCCAAAGGAACCCTTTAAAAGGAACCCTTTAATTAACAGGAACCCTTTAAAAGGAAACCCTTTAAAAGCAACCCCTGATCAGGAACCCTTTAACAGGAAGGAACCCCTTAAAGGAACCCTTTAAATCATAACGAACCCTTTAAAAGGAACCCTTTTAACAGGAACCCTTTTAACAGGAACCCGTCAAAAGGAAACCCTTTACAAGGAAACCCTTTAAAAGGAACCAAAAAAAGCACATAAGCAAAACTTAGGAATGGGGATATCCCATATGCGTATGTCCTTTCTGGGTCCTGAAAAAGGAACCCTTTGAAAGGAACCCAAGGGGCCTCCCCTAAACCGTAAACCCTAAGCCC